AAAAAAAAAAATCTGTTCAAACAAAAAAAAAAAAGAAAAAGAAAAACCCGAACCAAGACGCATTTCCAGCCGAAAACATAATTTAGGTCACGTCCACATCACTCCATGTCGGTAACTGCATCGCATTGTGAGGCCATTTCTTGCCATCCAGAAGCGTTCCATTTTTCTCTGAACAATAATACACGTAACGAATCTTGCGGTACGAAATTGGAGGATTATTTACGTGGACAAATCGTATTCCACACATAAGCATATAAGTATGCGGGTGTAACTCTATTTTAGGGGGGACGACCGGACGAGTCATCCACCTAAGTGGTCCTCTAATTTCGTTCCGTAAATTTTGTTTCCCGTACCATTATTTTTTTGAGCTGTGGATACTTCATTTCAGTTCCACCAATCATTATAGCTCACGGTCTGAGTTCAGAATTCTCTCTCTATAGGCGGTTCCTGATGGCGGAGAAAATCAAGATTCTGGTTATCGGCGGCACAGGATACATCGGAAAATTCATAGTGGAGGCCGCCGCCAAGTCCGGTCACCTCACATTTCTTCTCGTTAGAGAAGCCACTCTCTCTAACCCCGCAAAATCCAACATAATCGAGAACTTCAAAAACTCAGGGGTCAAATTCGTCATCGTGCGTAATCATCATCATCATCTTCGATTTTTTGTTTCTCTGTTTGTCTTGATTCTATTTCTTTTCTTTCATCAAATTAGATTGAACTGTTTGTTAGTCCAGAAACCGGATCTGTTGGTGTTGATTTGCTTGTTCTGTTTGGCTGAACAGAAAATTCTCTCATTTTCTTGTTCTGCAGGGAGATATTTATGATCACCAGAGTTTGGTGAAGGCTATAAAAGAGGTGGATGTGGTGATTTCAACAGTAGGACATGGTCAGTTGGCGGATCAGGATAAGATCATTTCTGCCATTAAAGAAGCTGGTAATGTTAAGGTAATTACTAATTTTGCGCTTTGAATCTTATATTCTCCATTTCTACTGTTTGAAGAAACATAATTCTATTTTTTATTAATTAATTAGTAGTATCTTTTGTAATTATGCATATTATATATTACCTAGGATTCCTAAGATCTAAAGTAGTTTACTTATTCTCAATAGACTTTTACTTCTGGAATAGTAACCTCTTTTGTACCTTTTTATATTATATCGTTGTCATGAACTAGTATTTTATTTTTCATGAAAATCCAACATTGTAGAAGTCTTTTTTTGGTTGATATATGAATGAAAATTAGATAAGTGGGCCAATTATACATTTTATAATTATAGATTAGATATGAGTTATGTGATATTGGGGTTATCCCCTTAATCAATGAATTATAAAATGTGCATTCTGCAAAAGATAAACTGTAAAACAGCAATCTTAATGAAATTAAACCTCCAGTTTACATACATGAATAAATTTCAGAAATTTGTTTCCTACTTCTAGTGCTTATGGTTTTCTATGTGTTCAGAGGTTCTTTCCTTCAGAATTTGGAAATGATGTGGATCGTGTACATGCTGTTGAGCCTGCAAAATCAGCATTTGAGATCAAGGCAAAAATCCGCAGAGCTGTTGAGGCTGCGGGTATTCCATACACCTATGTGTCGTCCAACTTCTTTGCTGGCTATTTCCTTCCCACTTTGTCACAACCTGGAGCTACAGCGCCCCCAAGAGATAAAGTTATCATTTTAGGGGATGGAAACCCCAAAGGTGGACAAATAATATTGTTTTATTCAGTTTTTCTCATCAATACTTCATGATTAGTGTTAAAACTCGCCTTAATGGCTCCTGTGATCTACAGCTGTTTTCAACAACGAAGATGATATTGGTACATATACTATCAAAGCTGTGGATGATCCAAGAACCTTGAACAAAATTCTCTACATCAGACCTCCTCTCAATACATATTCATTCAATGATCTCGTTTCTTTGTGGGAAAGGAAGATTGGAAAAACCCTTGAGAGGATCTATGTTCCAGAGGAACAACTGCTGAAGAATATTCAAGGTCGGTCTGAAACCCAACTCCTCTTTTTTTGCAGAATTTTTTGAATTGGATTGAGATAGTGATAATTAAGGTGTTGGCACTGGCCTGTTTCACTCTTGTTGCAGAGTCTGCTGTTCCTATCAACGTGGTCCTAGCAATTAGTCACTCTGTGTTCGTGAAGGGAGATCACACAAACTTTGAGATCAAGCCATCATTTGGAGCTGAGGCTTCAGAGCTCTATCCCGATGTTAAATACACCACCGTGGATGAGTACCTTAATCGGTTTGTGTGAAACTGGTGCAACAAACTTCATCCTCTAAATAATTCTGTTGTATTCCAATTATCTAGTGTGTGATGGTATCTGAAATCTCAAGCCATCATTTGAAGTTGAGGCTCCAGAGCTCTATCCCGATGTTAAGTACACCACTGTGGATGAGTACCTTAATCGGTTTGTGTGATACTGGTGCAACAAACTTCATCCTCTAAATAATTCTGTTGTATTCCATGTTTCTAGTGTGTGATGGTATCTGAATATCTTTCCCTTCGTTGGATTTGTGTTGATCCCGTAAGATGGCAGTGAGCTACGGTGTTGATTAATAAAAGCCTAAACTGCTTGTTGCTAAATTAGATATAGACCATGGCCAGTAAAATGAGAGTATTTATTAACATAACATACCAGTTGCTTTTGCTTTCTCTTCTCTTAAATCTCCCTTCCATCTGGGCAATTCCCTTGCATTAGATATTAACAATGACATGGCAAACTTTGTGTGGTTATAACGTGACACTTTGAAAATGGAACTCTGAAATTCAAGTCTAGAAATCTGTCGTCATCTCTATCACAGAACTATTGCAAAAAATCCAGGAAGTTAGGTAATTGACAACGACGATGATTCGCTTACAAATCACCTATTCTATTATGAAATAAATGTAGTTTTTTGACTTTTTTTTTCCTTTAATCAAAGATTGGGAAACAATGTCTAGATTCATCTGAATAGATAATAATATTGTTAAAGATAAAAAAAATATTTATTTATCTTAAAAATTAAAAAAAAAAACAATTAATTTAAAATAAATTCAAAATCAAATTATACCACTAAATGGGAGTAGTCAACAAACCATTGCCATCATATTGTTAACAAACTATTCATGAATCATTTTCCTAAAGAGAAAGAAAAAGTCTAAGAAATGGATTGAACAAATCACTAACACAAAAAGGATAAAACATTAAAATAATAGACTAAAAGGGGCCAAAAAGGTCAAATATTTTGAAGGCTCCTAACGGTTTTAGGCTTGAATGCCCATCTTTCCTTTGCTTCCTCTATTATTTTCCCTTCTTTCCTGAAGCCTTAACGGATCCTTTACCTTTCCATGCCTTTGCATGCTTTCCCATCTTTGAGCTACCCTTACCTGGCTTGCGCATTCCCCATGTCCTTGCATCCTTTTTCATTCTTCGGTCAACAAGCACTTTACCCTTGCCAGCCTTGACTTGAACTCCTTTCTTTGCTACCACATATTCCTTCTTTGGCCTTTTAGGTGTGGCCTTCTTGTACAACTGTTCGATTTGCTTCCTCTTTGAACGATCTGAGATGTCTGTTTGGTCTGATATACTGTTTGCTTTCTTCCGAACCTTCTCGAGTTTCCTCATGGCTGCCCGCTTCTTTCGGGCTTTTGCCTCTGCCACCTTCTTAGCAGGTCGGGCATTGATTTCTTTGAACTGTGCTCGCATAGCAGCAATCTCCTCTTTAGTGACAGGCTTAATTGGTTGGCAGTGTCTCCTCTCTTCCTCTAAAAACCATTTGGGCAAACCCTCATCATCAAATGTATACTTGCTATAAGCATCATCCAGTACTTGTTCCCTTTGTTTCTTCCTCAGCATCTTCTTCGCACAAGCCAATATCTCAGGTTTTGTATCGATGTCATTATCCTCTGAATCATCTGAAGATGAATCATCACTCGAATTGGTAACTGGGGCTGGGACAATCTCAAAATCATTTTCTGCCTTAGAAGCAGGTGCCTGTGTGCGATTTGGGCCTCCAGCATGTTTCACTGCCTTTTCCTTGGCCTTCTCTGGGACAGATGGTTCTTCCTGCCTCTTTACTTTTGTCTTGTCAGTGATGGAAGGTCTTTCCTCTCGGCTATCTACCTGCATTTCATCCTCACTATCATACTTCCCCGAATATCCCTCCTCTACAGCTTCAGCAAAAATATCCTGAGCAAACCACTTGTTTGTGATCTCCTCCTGAGTTGGCATCTTCCCATCATCCAGTGGCACCATGAGAGGATTTGCTTCAGGATCACCCTCATCTTTGTCTGAATCTTGGTCGTAAAGGATGATATCATCATCGCTACCCTGTACAACCAAAGGAAAATTATATCTAACCTGTAGTAATACGGTCCAAATTTTCAGAACCATCCTTAACTCATAGTTTGTGGGTAAGCATCACAAGTGAGGAAAAGGGACAGGAGCAAACAAATAAGCATAAGGGAATCTATAATCTTGCAAAGGAACAAGAAAACAAAGCATAGGGGACAAGGGCCAAATTCAAAAGATCAACCACAGGTTGACACAGAAATTATGCATATGAGGAAAAGATTAGAATATCAGCATAAAAGGTATTGTAAACCAGAAACAACAAATAGGCATGGGACATAGAAATGTTTTCAGATGCAAGAGACCAACCTCAGCTAGAAAAAGAGGAATGTTGACCCGATTAAACAACCATAACTTGTCATTTAATACTTAATAGTCACAAAGGTAACTGTGTTGACTTCAAAAGTATATCCATAATCAATTCACATACATCCAATTGCTCAGAATGGGACTGTTTTGCCCGCTTCCGCTGCTTTGTGCTTCCGTCCTTTTTGGAAACAAATCGGTCATAAGCCTGATCAAGAATCTCCTCAATTTGCTCATCATATCTAGCACGAAAATTACACAATCAATTGACAGAGACAATCATAGTTCAACAATTATATTGTCCAAATCAATCTTAGATATAACTTAGGAGAGAAGCAAGATGACTAACCTTCTTCGTTCTTCATCAGAATCAATATCATTGGATGAATCCTCCTCCCCAGTTTCCTCCTTGTTTTCTTCATCTTCACTACCCACCACATCTTCATTCCCATCATTGTATTCACTGGAATTCACAGCCACAAGATCTTTCTTTCCCTAAAGACCATAATTCAACAGGCATCAACAAAATCAGTCAGAACTACTTCAGGAAGAAACCAACACGACCACCATTAGCATAAGTTTGAGGCAGGAATGACAAAGAGGTCGGACTTTCATTCCAAATGTCTCATTATTTTTCCAAGGTAAAGAAAACAGAATGGAAAGAGAGAGTTTTGTTCTGTTATCTAAATTTTTATTTCTATATAGAACATGTCCCAGCACCTGATCAGTTCATAAAAAATTGATGCAGGTACATGCTTTGGGAACGCTTGAAATAGATGAATCAAATTAACCTGGAATTAAGGAATGTATCCCTCAAACCTAAGCCCCTATCATTATATTTGTTTCTTGGGGGCTTAGAGGAGAGAACAGATGAAAAGAAGCAACTTTCTTTCCCCAAATTGAATGCTCAAAGAGGAGTAGGAACAAGGGAAAGAAGGGGGATTTACATTTCCTCATTCCATTAATTCTTTCCCTGCAACAGACAGTATTCAAACAAGAACAGTAGATTCCCACTCCCTAATCAAATATAATATAAAGCACTTCCCATTTTCACACACACAAAAAAAACTATCCCTACTTTCTCAACCCTTTATCAGGCTTTGTGATAAGAGGAGGGACAAAATAAAAATAAAAAATAACTAACTAAAATTGTATTTCACAATAAAAAGGTGGAAGTCAAAGACTGAGAGTATACCTTTATGGAAGAAAGAGAAAACAACTCATTGTCAACATAACCATCTTCCATAGCATCTACTTGCATTCCTGTAGCCTTCCGTGCCTTATCCTGCAATTAGTGAGGCAAGAAATCAGAAATCACAAACAAAATTAGCTTGAGTGAGAATTTACTGTGATTCATCTTCAAAATGGGGCACAAAAATCCTTTGTAGCTTGGCAAACTAACATAGAATCCTATAAGGATTTGAAACATTGAATCCAAATTTTGCATAAATTCATAACAATTTGAATTTCAAACATAAAGTAAAGAGATATAGAAATAAAAGACCAACATCATGTAGAAGCAGTAGGCGTAGTTCTAATCCTGAAGGATTATGATAGTATTGGCATTGGCCACTGTTAGTGCATAACTCCCAGAGAAAAGAAAAATAAGAGAACATAAACAGATAAATACACAGAGATATGAACTGCATAATGCACCTTAGCTTGTCTTTTTGCAAGAAGCTTCTTAGCTCGCTTCTTCTTTCGTTCCATAGCATATGTCAGCTCCTCCATTGCATTAAGTAGTTCATCATCTTGATCCTTTTCATCTTCCTTTTCAACATCTTTTACAGAAGTGGTAGAAGATGCCTTTTCTGAAGCAGACAGAGCTTTTCTTATGTGCATTCGCCACCTTCATAACAGAACAAGCATGGAGAAAATAATACAATAAGTGAAAACCATCAATACACACACACACATATATATATGAGAAAGTGTTTATTAACCAAACCTCTAAAAAATTAGGATGAAAAACATTTCAAAATTATGTCGTTTCAATAAACTCCCATTGAAAAGGGCTAAAATAGCCTATTCTTAAACCAGGACTATATACACACATATATATATGCCAAATGATGGGCACAAACCATCTCTAAAGTCTAAGGAACTATAAAATTATGCACAAGAAGCATGAAAATTTAACAAAAATTTTCTTCCCTAACTTAAAAAGGACAAAAACAAGGAAATGTAAATGTATATCCAGTCCTAAAAACATGGCTGACATTCTTTCTCCATAAGCTTTGCAGATCATTAGAAAGACTTGGACAAAAATAGGTTGCAAAGCAAGTGTGTCTCTTACTTCAATAGGTGCTTGAAATCTTGCTTTGCCAAAACACGCAGGTCATCACAAAGAGCTTTAACCTGGCAAGACAATGGCAGACTAAGTAGTCAAAACTTGGTAGGACAGAAATCAAGGTCAAAGAGAGAACTTTGGCTACAACTACCTCTTCTGAGGTTAAACTATGATCCTTAATAGGCAAAGAAGCTGCATCATCAAAGGTTATGGAAGTAACTGAACCCAAGATCTCAAGGGGAGAGTCTGACCATATGAAATCAGCAGCTGAAGATACTTTCCTCAAGATTGTAGCGCCATCTTCATACCTGTGATTGAAAACTAGTAAGTGAAAAAGATAATATGGATTACACTTGTAATACTGCAGAGGAACATAGACAAAGACAACCAGTAATAATACAGATATGGGCACTACCAATATACAGGGAGCAATATTTAGCAACTTGCGTGAACATCATGTTCAACCATTAAAAATCAGGGTTAACATCCATCCTGTTCTAAGCAGAATACTTCGTAGTCTTTTGGGTATTGCAGACTAGCTGTTTTCACTCAAACCTAAGAACACGAGCAGAGACACTATTCTTTGACTATATAATAGAAACTCTTATCTAGTTTCCAATATTCATAACAGAAAACGATGGCTCACCCATCACGGTGTCTCTTCTGTTTTGTTCTGCGAAGTACATCAATCACCTTTCAAGAATGAGAAAAACAATGTCATTGTAATAATGTTCAAGAGAGAGATCTCAAGAAGATAACTTATGTTTAACTGACAACACTTTAAAAAAATAAAATAAAATCAATAACCTTCTTCTGTGGTTCTACAGATCCCTGAAATAGATGCTTAAAATCTAGAAGACGTGGATCAATCTTTGCAGGAGCCTTGTACTTTAAACCCAAAACATACGTCTCAGCAGATGTGGCACGACTAGCTGCAGGTTTGTGCACGTCAACCTTTTCAAATAACTGCAGAACAAAGTCAATATATGAGAAGAATCAGCCATTTGAAATTCTATGATCACATTAGCTGAAAGAAATGAAGAAGAAAAATACCTGTTTGAGACAGTAGATGACGGAACTGTAGTCCTGTGACCTGAAAACCTAAACAATCAAAAAAATAATAATAATAACAAACACATGAAAACTTGAACTAAAACATGCTTCATTGCCCAACAAACCCATAAACAATATCTAATTCCTCTGATGGTAGCTTCCGATTTCTAAAAGGACATCATTTAGCAGAAGATAAAACCCTTCATTTTTGGAGTAATGAAAAAGAAATTTATCAAAAGGAAACCACTGATTTAAAATTTACATCTTTAAGCTTTTCCAATTTTAATTCAAATTTAAAAATAATAATTTCTTAAGCCAATGATCATTGGAATAAGAAAATAACCCGCAAACTGCAACACTTCAGTTGGACGGGAAGTGAGAAAAGCGCAGATACCTTAGTGACAAAATTCCCTTTAGGAACCAAGAACTGGGTAGCTAGCTTCACCGCATCAATAACCAAAGCATTCTGGCTCATTGCCTCCCGCGCCCAGGCACCTCCAACGTTGGGAGACCCATCATGCAAAACCGAATCAAAAGCTTTAACACCATACTCCCCCATGACCTTCTTAATCCTGGCCTTGCATTCAGGCTTCGTAATATCCTGCTGTAGGGAGATGGCACCACGGAGAGGAGGGATGGGAACGAGGTCGAGGCCGATAACGAGGCTGCCAGCGGGCACACGCTCGACAGCCACCTGCATCCACCCACCTGGGGAGGCGCAGAGGTCGAGAACAGCACGAGACGAGGAGAGGAAGGAAAATTTGGAATTCAACTGGACCAGCTTCCATGAAGCTCTTGAACGGTAGCCGTGCTCTTTAGCTAGACGGTAGTACACATCTTGCCTGTGCTTGCCCTTCACTTTCCCCATGATTTGAGTGGAGTTTTTCTGAATAGAGCCTTCTTCAACCGAAGAGAGGTGACGAAGAAGAAACAGAGCTTTCCGGTCTAAATAAATAGTAAACACCAACTGCCTTTTCGGGGTTTTCGGGTTTTTCGGGTTTAGGTATCGGGACGACGGACGAGTGTAGGCTTTTTTTTTTTTTTTTTAATTTCTTTTTGGCCATTGGGATTAGTACTTAGGAGTGTGGAATATAAAGTAACACGATTTTTTTTTTTGTTGAGTTTAATAAAATGGTCACCATAATTAATAATATTAATACAATATTTTTTTTTGTCCATCTGAAAAGCATATTAGATATCAATCTCGTAGAAGAGGAAATTCACTTATTTATATTTATTTTTTCATTAAAAAGAGTTGAGCTCAAAATTTTATTTTTAAAAAAATTAAATTTTTTTCGTTTGGACTAATAAGTAATTGGTAATAATATTAACATAATATTTTTAAGTTTATTATTGATTATAAAAATAATAATTATGGTCCTCTTAGGTTAACAATTTATGAGTTCAAAATTTCAATTTCTGACCTTTTTTTTTCCATAAATTATAAATTAACTCTCTTATAATACTGACCCTAAATTTTTAACTGGTTGATACCAACTTTACCCAACTTTTATTAGTCTAATTTTTACCCAACTTTTATTAGTTTAATTTCTAAATTAGCGAGAGAAATGGGGAGAAGAAAGGATACGTTTAGAGCTTCTAGTGAAGAAAGATAAAGGGAAAATTAAAAGAGAAATAGCCAATGGTCCATTTGTTGATTTGGGTACCTTTTACACATTTAGAAAGGAAATTAAAGAGAAATGACTAGTGGTTTACTTTTTATTGGACTTTAAAAATATTGAATTAAGCATTTTTTACGTATCTAAGAAGTGTCAATTTTTTAATTATCTAAAAATTTTCTTTTCAAAATCTCTTCTTCTTTTTTTTTTTTAATGTTCTTAAAAGAAAATAAAACATAATAAAATCGCCACGATATGAAGGATGGTAAGACGCACTTTTGCAATCCAGCCAGCAAATTCATAATTTATGTTCTTAAAAGAAAATAAAACACAATAAAATTGCGGTGATGTAAAGGATGGGGATTGAGAAGG